CATATGCCATTGTATAAAGTAAAAGAATGACATGTTTAATGAGTACAAATGAAGTAATATTAGTGGTCCAAGTCATAAGGTACACCGGTGTAGGTTATTTATAACCCACACCCAATGAATCGCCGGTCCATAGGGACTCTCCTCCCGCGGGGAACGAAAGACTACTTTTCAGCTCCATCATTACATTGTATTCGAGGTCGGTCAGATTATTCCGACCCACCGTCGTAACAGCAAAAGCCGCGGCAAACCAAAGTAGCAAGCTGGTGGGGGCCGCCGTGACTGCTTGGCCGGACAAGAAACGCCGCCGGCGCTGCCATGTCTTTCCTTCCATCATCATGTTTTAATTTATTACTCTTAGTTTGCAGCTAGCTAGCTAGTACGTACTTATCGTCTTGGCCTATCTGATCTGCCTTCTTTTATACATGGATCCCCAAGCTTGTTGACGAGAAAATGGCGCTACCGCCTTTCCAGCCAATATACGTACGTATTCACTTACGCCATTGAATTAAAGTTGAAGAAAGACATTCCAACGCACTCACACACGAATTATGACAACTTTCTACAAATTAGCATTACTCTTCACACTACATAAATTATTATTATACTACGTACAAATTACTCAAAAAGGGATTAAAATTTAGACAAAATTACACAAATAAGAGTATAAAACTATGTGTATTTTCTCTCTCGAAATAGTACTTATTTGATTCTACTAAAAGTATAAAACTACTTCTCCAATTGTGAGTGAATAAGTCATATTTTCGGAAGTGAAAAAGAATAGTAGTGGCATATGTGCATTTTGTTTATGTTTTAATCCTATATAAATAATTTTCTGAATAAATTAATATGTTGATCTTGATTGAATCCACCAATTTTTATTAAACTTATCACAAGTTCTAAAGTATGATTAAATTTGTAATGATGTTGGAAAACCATTTTGTCAAATTCAAATAAGCAGCTATATACAATGTACTAGTTTATGTTTAACAAATTAAAGGGGTGTAAATCCATTAAATAGCTAAAAGGGGGTACTGGTAGGGAGAGAGTCAAGAAGGTCTAAAAACACAGAGTTTTTTTCCAAAATAAGGCTTAATAAAAAAAATATTTACGAAATTGATGTTTGGTTAAGAGTATTTCCCAAAGTAACCGTTGGAGTAAACTATAGTTAACAAAACTTGAAGATCGGAAGCCAGGTGCGCATCACAGAAAGGAAAAGAAGCTACACGTGGGACCCAGTAAAATAAAAAACCCCAATTTTCTTTAAAATGCTATACCGTTTTTATTTTTACTCTGATTAGTATAAATTATATACTCTGATTAGTATAAATTATATATCAAAATTCATAACTTTTTATTATCTTTCATATGACACCGATATTGAATATATACAAATTAAAAAATAATTTATCACTTTGAGAAAATCTATTTTATACCGTGTTAGAATTTTTTTATTTGTACTCTAATTGTTTTAAAAAATATATCAAAATTCATAACTTTTTATTATACTAGTTTTCAAGCCCGTGCGATGCACGGGCAGTATGCATTTTAGCTAATTTTAAAATTGATTTTTCCGTGATCATAATTAATGTGATGCAACAACAAAATGAATTCAATCTAATATAGAGTATGTTTGATAATACTAAAATTGGTCGAATTAGCTTATTTTGCTTAAATTGATTAAATTCTGGCTGAATGGGCTGATTAATTACCAAATTAATTAAGGTGTACTCCCTCCGTCTGTAAAATTGGTCGAATTAGCTTGATGAACAAGGCTGAAAGCCCTCTAAAATTTGTGCTAGGCACTCTCTCTAAGCTCCCCCCTTCATCACGGGGGTTTACAGGCTGTTTAAATAGAAAAATCGGGTGAAATTTGAGCTGAATTAGGATTTTCGGAGCCAGACACGATGCCAGGCACGATCGTGCCTCCGGAGCAAAAACGCGCATTTTGGGCAGGCACGATCGTGCCTCCCTCCAGGCACGATCGTGCCTGGCTGGCAGTAACTCAGCGGTGCTTTTCTCTTCAGGCACGATCGTGTCTGACTTTGAGGGCACGATCGTGCCTACTTAACTTCCGAATTTGACAAAACTTCCTTCATGAAAGTTGTAGATAATGAAGTCCTCTATCCACCCCAATTTGCCGAATGTGATTTGATCATCCAATCAAGAGATATGATCCAAACGGTGGAAGGTGTCTTTCTGCAATCTTAGCAGAGATCATCTGACTTCATCGTCTGTTTTCACCTTATTCCTCTCAGATTCTCGCAAAGGTGTCTTCATATGATTTGTAGCCCTTGAAGTTAGCTTTTATATGGAACTTGAATCGTGTACATTGGATGTTTCTACAAAGAGATATGATTTAACGTTTGACCGAAGGTCATCCTGATCGTCGTTTTCAAGCTTCATTCATCTTCTTTTGACCCCGTAGCCAATCCTAGAGCTCTTTTTCCTTCAAATCTTCATCGTGAATCTTCCGGCGACCTCCAAAGCTATCAAATCATTCTCAAATGTTTCTCAAATCATCCCGATTGTTCCTCAAGTGTCGGTGCCGGGCTCAAATTCCCTGATTTTGACTACAAACAACACAAAACTCGAACCAACGCCCGGTAAACATAACTTGAGCTAAAATTGAGACTTGTAACTAACACCTCAAAACTAGGAAAATCATCAAAATCCGATCTCAACACGCATCAAATACGTGTCAAATACGGACTTATCACCAAACCAAAGTACCGAATGTTTACCAAACGGTTTACACAAGTAAACCCAAACCAAACCAAATCAAACCACCAATTTTAATAACATATGAATGTTTTTTTGAGTTTCTTTAGTTCGGTTTTGTTCGGTTTTTATCGGTTTCGGTTCGGTTCGGTTTAATACGGTTTGGAAGAAATAGTACCAAACTCAAACCAAATTGCATATGGTCCGGTTTCAGTTCGGTTTGGTACGGTTCGGTTAAACCAAACCGTTATGCCCATCCCTAGCAGCAGCCGCGGAGGCAGCCGAGGAGGCACCCGACACGAAGAGCCAGAAGTGGATCATCTCGTTGATGATGTTGATGATGAATATGAAGATCCTAGATTTTGTTATAACGATCCCGAAAGAGTCTGTAATAATACATTTTTAATTTAAATTGAACATCGGTTGTTATATTACTGTTATAATTTCAGTCTGTAATAACTTTTATATACTTGTAGATTAAAAATGTGTATGAATTTCTTTTCTATTTAATTGTTACACTACATTTTTTTAAAAATAATTTTTTTAAAGATAATTTTTTAAATTATAAATGATTAAAATTCTTTTCGAATATTGTTTTTAAATTATTTTAAAAATTAAATAAAAATTTAATTGTTTTTGGAATTAAAAAATATTAGTCACGTATGTTTTCCGTGACTAATGTTGTCCGGGTTTTTCAAATTTTGTTTTTAAATTCTTTTAATAATTAAATAAAAAATATTTTTTTTTAAAATTAAAAATATTAGTCACGGATGCTGTCCGTGACAACATGAAATATTTAAAAATGAAAATTTGAAAATCTGAAAATTTGAAAACGAAAATTTGAAAATTTGAAAATGAAAATTTGAAAATTACTCACGGACGGGTCCGTGACTAGTTTGACGGTTTTTAAAAATATAAATGAAGGTTTAGTCACGGACAGGTCCGTGACTAATTTGACAGATTTTAAAAAAATAAATAAAGTTTAAGTAACAAACGTACCGGAATAGCAACTCCGGTAACGAATTAGTCACTGATTAGGGTCGTGACTAGTCCGTGACTAAAATTAGTCACGGATAACAGTCTGTGACTAAAGTTAGTCACAGATTCAGTCCGTGACTAAAAAAGTTAGTCACAGATTTTTAACACTATGGTCCGTGACTAAGTTGGTGGCCACGACTATGTTTTTTTAGTGTTTGTAAGGGAATTTGAAGAAAAGGTTAGCCTTTCCCGTCAAACAAACAAACGTTTTCAATTCATCCAAAAAAAAAAACCGTTTTCAAAATAGAAAATTAACAAAAGGCACGCGTATTTCATTATTATTATTATTATTATTATTATTATTATTATTATTATTATTATTATTATTATTATTATTATTATTATTATTATTATTATTATTATTATTATTATTATTATTATTATTATTATTATTATTATTATTATTATTATTATTATTATTATTATTTTTATTATTATTATTATTATTATTATTATTATTATTATTATTATTATTATTATTATTATTAGTATTCTAAAAAGTAGTGCATACTTACGCGTTGTGAGATCAGCCGCCATGTTACGTTATTTGTGAGATCAGCCACCATACGTTTTTTTGTACGACCTCTGTTTTGAACTAGGTTCATAAAATTAACTTTTCCCGAAAAATAACCTGGATCCATGTAATATTTAAATATAATGATGATGATGATGTTTATGATGATATAAATTTCAAAAATAGTTTCGGGCATAACATTCACGATTATCCTTTATGATGATGATGATGTTTATGATGATATAAAAACCGTCAAATATGAAGGATTTTGCCGGGAATATCCTGCATTCCCCATCCTCTGCCCTGATTGAGAGGATAAGAGATTAAGGGAGTGTTTGCAATAGATTAAAAAAGCACTTTTAAGTTTTTGGCTTAAAAAAGTACTTATTTACCAAACACTTTCAATTTTTACTTTTTCTTTAAGCTTGCGTGTGATAAGTGTTTTATCCCTTTCTATTACACACAAAGCACTTATTTTACCCAACACTACCATTTTTTACTTTTCAAAATCACTTTTTTCTCAAACACTACCAACTTTTATTACTAACCACTTTTTCTAAATCGTGCTTTTTTTTAAGCAGAAGCAGTTGTTTGTAATTCTCATTCATTCATTTATCATGATTCGGAGATATTTTTTTAACTCTCATCTAGGAGTATATGATTATGCATAAATATATAATTATATGAAGTCGATGTTGTAATTAAATGTTACATATTACACCATAGACAAATCGTCATAACATTTGACTCCACAAATTACAAACGACCGCTTAAAGATAAAGTGAAAAACACATTGTAACTCAATATACTTATAATTGAAAAGAAAAAGAAACAGAGAGAAACGCCGAGCTTGAGATATATAGTACGGAAATTAAATAAGCACGCAATGACAAGAAATTAAGCTTCAAATTAAAACAAACAAAGGCCGGAACACAGAAACATTAATTATGTATCAACCACGGATAAATCTGCGGCGCAGGTAGGTAGCTAGCATGGAAGCCCTTTTTGGTCAGCTAAACCTGGATTCCCACATGTAATCAGTGTGACATTGTCACTAAAATGAGGGACGGAGCCATTGAGATTATTGTTAGAGAGATTGACTTGTTTGAGTGAAGGGATTTCTGCCAATGACTTGGGCACTGGACCGGTAAGACTGTTATAGCTGACGGTGAATTCCGTCAACCGTGGGAGGCCGGACACGTCGGGTATTTGGCCTGAAAAATTGTTGCCGTGCAGGTAGAGTTGGGTAATCAATGTGAGGTTCTGTATAGCGGAGATGGTGCCGGACAATGATGAGCTGCCGTCGGCCCGGGTTTGGTTATTCAGCCACAGAGAGACCAAAGATAGGGGCAGGATGGGAGGGAGTTGGCCGGATAAATGGTTATGCGCCAAGTGAAGGTGCACTAAGGTGGGGAAATTGTCGCCGTTGAAGAAGCTGGGGAAGTCCCCGTGAATGTTGCAATTGACGGCGGAGAAATTCATGAGGTCCAAATAGAATCTCAGGTCTTGAGGAATCTCCCATGGCCCAAGAAAAAAGTTGTAGTCTAGATGAAGGATCCGCAGTTTAGTCTTGTTGAAAAACAGAGTTGGCGGGATTGAAGTGAACCGGTTGTGGTCAACGGCGAGCGTAGAGAGATTTGGCGTCCCGGCAAAGTCCGGAAGTGGGCCGGTGAGGCTGTTGTAGCTCGCTTCGAACCAAAACAACTGGGTGAGGTTTCCCAGGCTTGCCGGCAGTCTCCCGCTGACATTCATACCCGGAATCGCGATCCAAGAAACGGCCAAATTTTTCTCGTCCGGTGTAGTAGTGACTATTTCACATCCCACACCCTCCCAGTTGCACGGATCATGATCAGCCCATACTGACTCATTCGAGAACGTAAGATGGCCCTTCAGATCCATCATTACATTAACATCATGATCGGTCAGATAAATGTCGCCCGCCATCGTGCTCACAGGGAAGGCGGCGGCAAGCAAAAGAAGCTGCAGCAATCTGCTGCTGCTGCTGGAATGAACTTGATCATCCCACAACACTTTGCCACATTTTTTCATTTCCATCTTAGCTTCTTCCCTACCTAATTAATTAATTAGCTCGCTATCAAATCAAATATATATAGCAGGTGCACGCAGAGGCGGAGCCAGGTGTCAACATATACAATTATTGTGTATATATATATATATGTGTTATATATATATATATGTAGAATGAAAATGTTAAAATGACACCACTAGTTTTTTCATAAACACGGTGAATATGTAAAATACATTCTCCCTATTTCCAAGTTTTCATTTATGATTGAAAGAATGATGCATGGTGATGATATGTGACTACAAAGTAAAACAATAATATGATACTCTTATTTTCGAATTTACATTATTTGTTAACTTAGAGCCCGTTGGCCGGTAGCATTGAAATATATTTTATTAATAAAAATAAAGAAAAAATTATATGAAAAATAGCTAAAATTGTCCTCAATTTTAATTATTTTGATTATTGCACAATTTAGCGTGCAAATCAAAAGATACGTGTGTAGTACGTGAAAAAGTTGTTTGATAAGCCGAAAAATGGATCACTAAACGAACTCTTACTTAAGGTAATTTTCATTGTTATATTACTTTGACACCACTCATACTACATCCCGGCTCCGCTCCTGAGCAGGTGGGATTTTTTATACGTACTCAACCGATGATAGATGGATGCATTGCATTGATGAGAAATTAAGACAGGCCCGGCCTTTTATACATGCATGGCCACACTCTGATACATTTACATTGACTCTACGAAGCTGTTCTCTTCGTCTTATCTGAATGTTTCTAATATGAATTTATTAAGTTCTGATCTGATCTGAATTTATTAAGTTCTGATCTGATCTGAATCTTTCTGATCTGATCTGATCTGAATCTTTCTGATCTGATCTGAATCTTTCTTATCTGGTCTGATCTGATCTGAATCCTTCTGATCTGATCTGGATCTTTCTGATCTGATCTGAATATTTCTTTAATTATAATTATAATTAGGGAAAAGTACATAAAATGTATCTGTGGTTTGGGCCATTTTCAGATAGGGGCATGTGTTTCATTTTCTAACAAAGTGGGGCATGTGTTTCAATTCCGTTATCATAGCAGGGGCATGGCCTCTAACGCCGTTAGAAAAATTAACCCCGATTTTAAAAAGTCTCCGAAAAATTAAAAGAAAAATACCGGGAGGTGCGACTCGTCAAGGAGATCAACAAACTATCTTTATTTTTTTGTTTCCTGCCACCATATCTCCAGAAAGTCCACCAGAAAATTGATATTAGTGAATTTGTTTTTAAAAAATAATCCAAATAAAGCCGAAAAATCCAAAGAGAAAGATAGTTTGTTGATCTCCTTGACGAGGCGCACCTCCCAGTATTTTTCTTTTAATTTTTCGGAGACTTTTTAAAATCGGAGTTAATTTTTCTAACGGCGTTAGACGCCGTGCCCCTACTATGATAACGGAATTGAAACACATGCCCCACTTTGTCAGAAAATGAAACACATGCCCCTATCTGAAAATGGCCCAAACCACAGGTACGTTTTCTGTACTTTTCCCTTATAATTATTATAAATATAGCTATTATATAATAGTAATTATATTTTTAATTTTAATTATTTCTATAAATATAATTGTAATTATAATTATAATTACTCTAGATGATGATAATAATAATAATAATAATAATAATAATAATAATAATAATAATAATAATAATAATAATAATAATAATAATAATAATAATAATAATAATAATAATAATAATAATAATAATAATAATAATAATAATAATAATAATAATAATAATAATAATAATAATAATAATAATAATAATAATAATAATAATAATAATAATAATAATAATAATAATAATAATAATAATAATAATAATAATAATAATAATAATAATAATAATAATAATAATAATAATAATAATAATAATAATAATAATAATAATAATAATAATAATAATAATAATAATAATAATAATAATAATAATAATAATAATAATAATAATAATAATAATAATAATAATAATAATAATAATAATAATAATAATAATAATAATAATAATAATAATAATAATAATAATAATAATAATAATAATAATAATAATAATAATAATAATAATAATAATAATAATAATAATAATAATAATAATAATAATAATAATAATAATAATAATAATAATAATAATAATAATAATAATAATAATAATAATAATAATAATAATAATAATAATAATAATAATAATAATAATAATAATAATAATAATAATAATAATAATAATAATAATAATAATAATAATAATAATAATAATAATAATAATAATAATAATAATAATAATAATAATAATAATAATAATAATAATAATAATAATAATAATAATAATAATAATAATAATAATAATAATAATAATAATAATAATAATAATAATAATAATAATAATAATAATAATAATAATAATAATAATAATAATAATAATAATAATAATAATAATAATAATAATAATAATAATAATAATAATAATAATAATAATAATAATAATAATAATAATAATAATAATAATAATAATAATAATAATAATAATAATAATAATAATAATAATAATAATAATAATAATAATAATAATAATAATAATAATAATAATAATAATAATAATAATAATAATAATAATAATAATAATAATAATAATAATAATAATAATAATAATAATAATAATAATAATAATAATAATAATAATAATAATAATAATAATAATAATAATAATAATAATAATAATAATAATAATAATAATAATAATAATAATAATAATAATAATAATAATAATAATAATAATAATAATAATAATAATAATAATAATAATAATAATAATAATAATAATAATAATAATAATAATAATAATAATAATAATAATAATAATAATAATAATAATAATAATAATAATAATAATAATAATAATAATAATAATAATAATAATAATAATAATAATAATAATAATAATAATAATAATAATAATAATAATAATAATAATAATAATAATAATAATAATAATAATAATAATAATAATAATAATAATAATAATAATAATAATAATAATAATAATAATAATAATAATAATAATAATAATAATAATAATAATAATAATAATAATAATAATAATAATAATAATAATAATAATAATAATAATAATAATAATAATAATAATAATAATAATAATAATAATAATAATAATAATAATAATAATAATAATAATAATAATAATAATAATAATAATAATAATAATAATAATAATAATAATAATAATAATAATAATAATAATAATAATAATAATAATAATAATAATAATAATAATAATAATAATAATAATAATAATAATAATAATAATAATAATAATAATAATAATAATAATAATAATAATCCGAGCATTTTTTCTGTTTTACTTTTCTTAAAGAGGACTAAGGATTACATTTTTATCCTTAGTTGCCCCGGCATAATCCGAGTAGTCTGTTTGTGGCAGTAGTCTGACAGTGATGGCGGGACTACGGTGAACAATGACGGATTTCTAACAACTAGAGGTGGTGGTCCGGCAGCGGGCGACCACAGTCTGGCAGAGCAGCACTACGACCTCTATAAGGATATTTTTATCCAATCACAAATAATAAGTTCTATTTATGGAATTTTAAACATTAAGTCCTATTTTTGGAAAATGATCATGTTTGGGTCCTATTTGGGGAGTTATCCTATTTCTTAAACACAAATGCTGTTAAGAAAAAATTCTTTAAATAGGTTTAAAACACGAATAAATTCCATAGATAAGACTAACATTGTTTTCCTAGATAAACTCAAATAACATTCATTCACTCTTAATTGAAGAAGTTTTATACCTTTAACGTGATCAAATAAGCCTTATTTTTAGAATAAAACGTATTATTGATAAATGAAATATTTACTTATAAGTATGATACTGATTTATTTAATTTAAAAGTTAAGATACTAAACACATCAATATCGATAGTACGTTAAGATCAAACACATTTTAGTCAATGGGGATAACTTTAATTAATTTGAGGAAACTTGAATAAAGGGCTTTCCTTTCCAGCCAAGCAAACACAAACGTTTACAAAGTAGATAATTAAATAAGACGACTGCAAAAAGCTAGCTGATGGATAGTCTACCCGGGGGGTGTCTTATCCGAGGGGTTATTACGGGAATAACTAGAGAGAAGTCAGAGCAAAATAGGAGGAGAGAGAGTCGATTTTATTAAATGAACTCGAGATATGGAGTGGTGTGTCAATCATCTCCATTACAAGGAGAAATGGGCTGCTATTTATAGCAGCAATAAATGCGATGAGAGGACACGTGTCAGTAATCCAACGGCCGAAGGGTCACATCAGCCTAGTGGCACCGGCAGTGGTACGTCAACCGCATTGAATGCGGTTGGTGGATGCGACGCGGCATTAAATGCGGTGGTTGGCTGTCTCTAAAAGGAATCTTCGATGATTGAGCTTAATCAGCCGAAGGCTCCTTTGTGTAGCCGAGGGTTCCTCGTGCAGCCGAGGGCTCCTTGTGTAGCCGAGGACTTCTCAGATGCCGAGGGCGTAACAATGCCGAAGGCTCATGTTTTCGCCCGTTTTCTCCCAGCAGCCTCTTATGCCAAAAAGGCTATCCTGTGAGTTCTAGAGCCTTCGGCCAAGGAGGCCGAAGGCACCCCAGTGTGTATTCCGGGCTATCTTGGGGCTTGAGCCGATGTATTTGGGCCTGAGTTGTTTCCTGGGCTCAATGGACTTGTGTAGGAGAAGTAGGAGTCTATGGGCCGGGGGTTCCTGGGCCATATACTCCATCAGGAGTCCCTCACTCCTTTTGCCGAAAGGTACTTGAGGGAAAAGGAGTAGATGTGTTGATTCTTCCGGGGGCTTCATCGCCTGTCTGGGTGCCTTTGTTTGAGAACTTGTCTTCTGTTGATTGCCGAAGGCTTCCCTCAGTCCCTCACATGTCGAGGGTTTTCTGAGGGAAGGTATTCGTAACCTTCGCATGTTCGCCGGGGGCTTCCCTCAGTCCCTCACATGTCGAGTGTTTTCTGAGGGAAGGTCCTTCGCATGTTCGCCGGGGG